GGTATTTTGTCCAGCAGCGTGGTGACGGTGGCTCCAGGGAAACAGTGAGTGGAAGCATTAAAAAATCTGCAGCGTTTGATAATTGAGTCACCCACCAGAAGAGTTGTGGGTGCAAACAGAGGTCGTGGGGAGGGTGTTATGACTGGCGCTGGAGTGGCTGTGATGGGAGGAGAGGGGCGCTGAGGTGGGTCTGGAGCGGGCTGGGAGAGGCCAGGAGCGCGTGAGCAGGTGCCGTGAGGGAAGAGTAGAGGGATGGAGCAGAGTGCAGGAGACCGATGTGGTTCTGGAGGGACTGAGGCTGAGGCGTGGGGTGTCGTGGGAGGACATCGCACCGAGCCAAGGCAGGGAGAGCCTCCAGCCGCAGACGGCGCGTTGTTATCCGCGGGGGGAGCGGTAGCATTCACGCAGGGGTCCTGCGCTGCGTCAGAGCGCAGTGACCCCTCCGGAGCCAGGACAGCGTTCACAGGGGGACTCCGCACTGCGCTAGAGCGAGGGGATCCCCCCACCCTGCCCCGGCATTTGCTACGCTCTGCGCTGTGCACCGTGCGTCTGTGGGGCTACTCACCGTTACATGGCGCAGCGAGTCTCCCGGGGCTGAGGCAGCATTCGCGGGAGGACTCCGCGCTGTCTTCGAACGCGGAGATCCCTCCACGGCTGCCCCAGGGTCAGCCAAGCCCCGCGTAGTGTCCGGGCTCTTGGGGCTCCGCGCTGGGTCACAGCTTGGAGGGCCCACGGAGCGCCTGCGGACTGCCTCCTCGACCAGCTTGCGGCGGGTGGGCATGGACGCTCTGCGGTCTTGCCGCCTCTGCTCCAGGCTGCTCTGGCTCCGGGGATGATGGTCTGGGACTGGACAGCCAGGCACCGTTGGCTCCGGGATTGGAGGAGGCAGCGAAGGATCCGGAACCGGGCAGCGCGCTGGATGCTCCGGGAAGAGCACGGAGGCAAAGCTCGGCCCAGGAGCGGGTGGGTCCTTTCGTCGGACCACAATACATGAGGTATTGCTTTGGAGTGGGGTTGAGCAGGATGAGGGGTTCGGGCAGATTACAGGGTCCCAGAGAACAGTGTCGTGTTGAGCGGTGAGTGAGAGGTGTTGTGATTGTCTAAATGCTATGTCCATGAAGTGTTCCAGGAGTAATTCTTTGTGTTTGAGTTCGATGGAGAGGTTATTGACAGTCAATTGCAGTTCTACGGGTGACATGGTATGTACCGGTTTTTTGATTGTGGAGCTGTATGAAGTGAGTTGTGACTTATAGATTTCTTTGTAAATGTTAGTGGGTTGTGTTGTGTCCATGGTTACGGTATACGGAAGTTAGCCGGCTTGCTAGCCGGCTTGCTACCAGCAGATTCAGACGTGAATAAAAAGTCAGAGGGAGAGTGACAATAATCCTTTTAGGGCACAGCTGTTAAAAGGCGCGTAATCCAACCGATTCGCTTGATAAAAACAAATGTTAAAAGCGTGGGTTTTTAGAATAACTTTTAAAAGACAGAGGTTAAAATGCTCCAAACCAGCCGGCGGCCATCTTGGTTCACATACAGAGGCTCCTCCTCTTTTAAAAGATCACACTGATCACACTGTTTGACAGCGCGGGGCCCACTGTACAATAGTTCTGGCATGCGCCTCCTGTTCGGCGACCCCGCTCCCATCTCTGTGTGGAGTGAGAGGACAAGTGCCCAAAAAATAACAATTGTAAACCGCTTTGTGACTCTGGTCTGTGAAAGGCGGTATATAAATAAAGCTTACTTACTTACTTACTACTTACTATCAAAGAGCAGTTGCATTTATACGGAGACTTGATTACACACAGGTGCATTCTATTTATCATCATCAGTCATTTAGGACAACATTGGATCATTCAAAGATCCTCACTGAACTTCTGGACTGAGTTTGCTGCACTGAAAGTAAAGGGGCCGAATAATATTGCACGGCCCACTTTTCAGTTTTTTATTTGTTAAAAAAGTTTATATTATCCAATAAATTTCGTTCCACTTCACGATTGTGTCCCACTTGTTGTTGATTCATGACAATAAATTAAAATTTTATATCTTTATGTTTGAAGCCTGAAATGTGGCGAAATGTTGAAAGGTTCAAGGGGGCCGAATACTTTCGCAAGGCACTGTATCAGTGATTGTATTCTCTTCCCATGTTATAACTGTGTGTATGTGCAGATTAAAGGTTACTTATTTACATTTTAGCAAAAAGATCGGGTAAGAATCTACAGAAATTGTTGACGTTTTTCTAAGTGCTGAAGAGCAAGGGGGGAGGGAGGTGTGTGGTCAGAGAGTGTTTGGGCCTGTGCGTGTGTGTATGCGTATGCGTATGTGTATGTGTATGTGTATGTGTATGTGTATGTGTATGTGTATGTGTATGTGTATGTGTGCGTATGCGTATGCGTATGTGTATGTGTATGTGTATGTGTATGCGTATGTTTATGCGTATGTGTATGCGTATGTGTATGCGTATGTGTATGTGTACGTGTGCGTATGCGTATGCGTATGCGTATGCGTATGTGTATGTGTATGCGTATGTGTATGTGTATGTGTGCGTATGCGTATGCGTATGTGTATGTGTATGCGTATGTGTATGCGTATGTGTGCGTATGCGTATGCGTATGTGTATGTGTATGTGTATGTGTATGTGTATGTGTGCGTATGCGTATGTGTATGTGTATGCGTATGTGTATGTGTATGTGTATGCGTATGTGTGCCTGTGCGTGTGTGTGTGTAGCCAAAAGGGCGTCTGCTTCGTCCAGCCTATTTTTCTTTTTTTATAATATATCTTGTTTATTGTTTATAGTTGAATTTAGTTTTACCTTTATTGATCCACAAGGGAAATTGCGTCGTCACGGTATCTTGCATAGTATTCCACAATAAAAATTACAATAAAGTAACAATTATGAAAATAAGAATAAAAATAACAGAATATTGTGAGAATAACATAATCTGGATTTAGGTACTCAGAAAGTGTGCATAACTTTTGAAATAAATTCTTCCTACTATCATTGCTACTACTACTGCTACTACTACTGCTACTACTACTCCTATTACTCCTACTCCTCCTCCAACTACTACCACTACTGCTGCCTGCTGAGCTCGTGCTGGTGTGAGCAGCGTGTAGGAGGTGCAGCTTTGAGAGCAGAGCTTTGGTTTTATCAGCGGTGAATGTGGAACGAGCAGCTGGGGCTCTGCTGACAGCTGATTGGAGGAGGAGCAGCAGGAAGTGTTGCGTACAGTTGTGTTGCTCAAATTTGAGGTTTTCAGAATTTCTGTCACAATGTCTGAATAACATGTGGCATTGTGTCTACTCTCGAGTTTGATTGCAACATCATTGAGGCTGAAGATCTGTCACGCCCACTTCAAAGTCTGCAACAATAATTAAGTTGTTTTTAAATATAGAATGACAAGCACATCCAGAGCCTGGTTGTTTTGAGCCCACTTATATGTATCACTTTACAGGATATTACCAATATCTTCAGAGATTACCTACGCAGACACGGGGAGAACATGCAAACTCCACACAGAAAGCTCCTGGAGGTGGAATTGAACGCAGGGCATCGCCACCGTGTCACAAGTATCCTAAATGTTGTAACTTTTGATTTATTTTTTCAGAATCCAAATACATCACAGGTGTTCAAACGTTTCATAATACGTGTTTTGACTGTATTCACACCACAGCTACGTTAGTGCCATTTAAGGAATTTTATAACACAATGAAAAGTATATATACTTGAAACAGTGAGATGGACAGGTGCAGTGCAGTGGAGCCAAACACGGCACTCAAAATCTGGGCTTGTATAAAAAAACAATCAGCTATATCAGAATCTCTACAGAGGACAAGGTCAGTGCAAGGATGTCTGTCTTTCCTTACATAAAAACATAACTTTACATCCCATTTTAAGAAAGAGCATGCTCATTTTTGTGCCTTTTTTGCTATCAAAACACTGAAAGATACGTTCATTTCGATCTTCTTTACAAAGCCAAGCCATTCTGCAGTAATTGTTATTTTTTGTAGTTAGCGTAGTGTAAACATGTTGCGACAATGGGACTGTATTGAAAAATTGAAATGAGTATTGGTTTGCATCTACAGGTTTACACAATTATAATAGTAAAAAAAATAATAATAATAATAAATAATTTGTGTAGCAGCAAAACAGTCAAAACAGTCGATAAAAAGAAATACAGCAGAATAAAGCAGACAGACAAAACAAAGCCAGAGTGGGGCAATAAAATACACCATGTGATTTTTTTAAACTAGCAGTTAAAAGCTATTTGATAAAAGTGTTCTGTTATTTTTAAGTGATTTAAAAGAGGATACTGATGGTGCTAGCCCTATCTCCTCAGACAGATTGTTCCAGAGCCGAGAAGCCCAGACAGAGAAGGCTCGGTCCCCTTTCGTCTGGAGCCTCGACCTTTAAACAGTCAACAGGCCGCTGCTCAAGAATCTAAGGCTGCGGGGGAAGGGCTTGTAGGGAGTTAAAATTTCACAAATATAGCTTGGAGCCAGACATAAACCAGCTTTAAAAGTAATCAGTAAACCATTAAAATCCATTATGAAACACACAGGAGCCAGTGGAGGGACACTAAAACAGGGGTGATGTGCTCCCAGCTGTTAAAACCAGTGAGACGTCTGGCTCCTGCCTTCTGGACCAGTTGGATGCGGAAGAGGGATTTGGAATCAAGGGAGGGAGGGAGTTGCAATAATAGTTTTACATGCAAATAGTGCAATGTGAGCTCCTATATACGGCACATGCATCGGACTGTACAAGTTTGTCCGTTTTTGGTATCCGTGGTGGCTTGAATTCAACCACTACGGAACAAAAACAAATTGGCCAGCCATTTGTTTTTGTTCTGTATTAGTTTATTCAAGATGGAGAGACTAAATGAAATAATATTAAAAAGGGTTGCCATTGTTCTACCATTGTTCCCAGTATTGCACCACAACAAAACAAAGACAAAATATCGTTCGAGCCAAGAGCTGGATGTAAAAATGAAAAGGAACCGACCTGTGGCTTCAGCTCAGTACCATGAAGAAGCAGGAAACCAGAGCGAGGAGCGCCACAAACCCTGAAACACAGAGGGGGAAGTGAGTCATGGATGAGAAGGACTAATGTTATTCATAAAGTTCAAATCGATTGATGCGAAAGTGAACTGAACACATTCACTTCATCATTGACAGAAAGTGAAAGAGCGATCGAAGGAAAACTAGCATAAAGGAGCTTTCTTCAAAATCCTAACAAAAAAATGTTGGTTGGACATTTGGATCTTCCGGTTATCTAATTCTGATCCTTTAAAGAAGAAATATGTTGCAGTTCACATGGCCATTAAAGTCATTTCATTTGTCATTTACTGTATTAAATGGCTCATATGGTAGCGTGGTACTGCAACCCCTCCCACTCTCCCTGTCTCAGGTTGCCAGATATGCAGACGAATCCAGCTGGGACCATAACAGCTGAATAGACAAGAGTTTTGTCAACAACAAATCTAAAAACAACACCTTTTTCACAAAGGCCCCGTGCTTTCTTCTTTGTTTTGTCATTAATGTTATGTGAATCATAACAAGACCTTTTTTAGTGAGACTATCAGTGAGATTAGCTCGACGTGGCGAGTTCTGGCAACCCAGATCCCAACCTTTCTGATTGGTTAAACAGTGGAGGGCGGGACATCGAGATGAAAACAATAACAAGATTTAGGAGCTGTAAAACTAATTTTTAAATTCAAATATCTCGGCTGAACTATTGTTATCAGTTAAAGAAGTATTTAAAAAGAGCATGGTTTATTAATGCCTTTTGACAGATCAGGGCCCTTTAACGATGACTTGACATGAAAATCTTACATAGTGCTACTTTAAGATTTTTTTTTAAATTATTTTATGCGTGAGGAATTAGACGGGAGGATTCAGAACATTTAGCAGAAACTTATGAGAGTAGCTTTTTTCAGCCGTACCCTTGATTTACTTAAAACTGTTGAAATGTCTGATCCCGAAGCAACGACAAACCCACGATGACTGCATTTTTGCAAAGCCACCAATGAATTCAGTCCTGTCACATTCTTTATGTCCAACCTCAAGTGAACTCTGAGAAGTACAGCAGGAGAACACCGAGCCAACACATTGATTTGAAACCGGGGAACGCTCGAGAGAAATGTGGCCGTCTGTCTGACACGGGAGGTTTATTTGTATAGCACAGTTCATACACAAGACAACTCAAAGTGCTGAACAAAACAAGACAGAAACAATCACACAAAGCATTAAAATCCTAAATAATTACAGAACATTAAAAAGGGTAGAGATGCAGTCCTTCAGTTGTATGAAAAGCTTTTAAGTGCATAAATCTGAAATGCTGCCGCCCCATGTTTAGCCCTGACTCTGGGCACCAGTAGGAGCCCAGTCCCTGTGCTCCTCAGAGTCCCAGTAGGAGCCCAGTCCCTGTGCTCCTCAAAGTCCCAGTAGGAGGCCAGTCCCTGTGCTCCTCAGAGTCCCAGTAGGAGCCCAGTCCCTGTGCTCCTCAGAGTCCCAGTAGGAGGCCAGTCCCTGTGCTCCTCAGAGTCCCAGCAGGAGCCCAGTCCCTGTGCTCCTCAGAGTCCCAGCAGGAGCCCAGTCCCTATGCTCCTCAGAGTCCCAGTAGGAGCCCAGTCCCTGTGCTCCTCAGAGTCCCAGTAGGAGCCCAGTCCCTGTGCTCCTCAGAGTCCCAGTAGGAGCCCAGTCCCTGTGCTCCTCAGAGTCCCAGTAGGAGGCCAGTCCCTGTGCTCCTCAGAGTCTAGGGTTGTTCATATGGCTCTAACATGTCTCAGGAAAGCAAAAGTAAGGACAGGAGAGGGCGGCTGGAATATGGACGCAACAATACAGTAAAAATACACATATATAAAGTTGAGGCATACAAACGGTTTCTGAATAGGACAACATCATTAAAACATCAGGTCATTTTGTTTAAGGTTCTAAGATATAAGATCACTTCCTGCAAGTTTTCCCTTTCCCCTTATAGAGGATTTTAAAGCTTCCAGACCCTGAACTGTTAGGAACATGTCCTATAGAAGGGGGCCTCAGGAAAGACCCGGGACACGCTGGAGGGGGACTATGTGAGGCAGGGTTTCTGTATTTTGTTTTTTACATGTTTTTGGTATTTTGAATCACAACTCAATCATAACTGGACCAAATTTTTAAAAAAATTCAAAGTATCATAAAATAAATCTTTGACCTAACTTAACGCCTGATTACATATTACTTTTATTATAGAACAGATTCAATTATATGGTTGTAGTAAAACATGTCATAGTATCTCATTACCATCAATTCTGCAAGTTACTGTAATAATCATCATCAAAAATCATTTCAGGGGCCATTCAAAATAGTCTCGTGGGCCGGATTTTGCCCACGGGCCTGAGTTTGACATGTCTGGACTCTACAGGACCCCCAGCCGAGGAGCTGCATGACCCCTACGCATCTCTGGACCAGGTTTAAGACTCTGAAACCTGGTCCTGGATGAGCCTAGGACACATCATTTCCTTGGATTAGAAGTCTCTTTCATTAGCCACATGTTTTTCTTTTGCCTATGACGTCTTCATTATTGAGTTTTTATATTCGCAGCTGGAGGTCGGATACACCACAAATGTTTTCATTGTCTGCTTTTGTTTTTGCTCGTGGCCAGCTGGGAAATGTCACTGTAACCGTTAGCATTGAACAAGCGCACTTAGCTTGTCAGCGCGCTCATAAAAAGCCAGCTGACTGAGAGAGCCTTGTTGTGATGGAAAGTGTTCATTCCTTCCTCGCCGCTGGAGACGGAGGACGAGCCTAAAACATCGGGAAAACACATGCACAAGAGGCATCCAGACAAATATGCAGTCTTCATATTTCAGCTGGTGTTGAGGGCTCCTTGGAGACAGTTTGTAGGTTTGGACAAAGACGGCGAGGGCATACTGGGTCAACACTCTCCAAAAACACATTAGGCGATTGATGGATAACGCGTACAGAGAACAATTCACAAATAATCCAATGCAATCTTCAAGTTCGGACGTTCTTTGAACCCAAACCAATATCTGACAAAAATCTTGTCACAGAATGCAACAGCACAGTATGTCGTCATCTTTGATCGTGTCTTAAATTTGAATGGTTTTAAGGTCAATGCGAGGAAAGGCACACGGCCCTGTGGATTCAAAAACCAGAATATGTTAGTGCGATTCTAGTCTGGTCGTACCACACCATAGTACAAATTTAATTTCATACTAAGGTCCGAATTTGCTCCATTGAGCTCCGTGAACAGGTGGGAGGGGTTAACTCCTTTTGCAGATTGAAACGATTGGATCTGAGTTTACCGTGATGTGGGAGTTGCTAGCATTTAGCATTTAGCCTAGCATTAGCCATATCCTTTGGCGCTAACGGCTTCAATTTCTTGATAAAACCAGAACGGATTACTTTACTATCGCATTCTCTGCCATTGCCAAGCTAAAACCAGCTAATTCGGCGAAAACTCTTGACGTCACCAACACCTTCCTACACTGTAAAGTTTGATTGGTAACCCTTACTCAAAAAAAGTGTGGACACTAATTGCACACAATTTAATTGAGTAACTGTTATCAACAATCAGATCAGGTAAAGTCTGCATGAAATAATGTATTAAGCTTTACTCTTGACCAGGTAAAGTTTACTCACAATAAATTATAAAACCTTACTCCAGTGCAAATTAAATTTTACCAATATAAATTAGTAAAACATAACTCATTGTTAATGTATATAGTCTACTTAAAATTATTTATGAGACCCTACTTTTTGCCAATTGCACTTTACTCATACAGGTTACTAAAATCTTACCCTTCCACGTGTGTTTACTTTGGATTATCTATTCAGCCCTAATGGACTAGTTGTACCATACCATCTATCAACTTTCTACCCCTTAGTTCATTTCTGAGTCAGGGGGGGGGCAATCATAGATGCCATCGAAGTTACATAGCACCAGTCCCTCACTGATCCTCTGCAGGTGGTGAACGCATTTACAGTTGAGTTTCATGCAAGCATGAAACTCCATATGTGGTACTGGTATTTCTTTAAATAAATCTGCAGCAGTATACGGATGCTTTGGCATGACCCGGTCGATTACGGTTGGTGAAAATAAATACAATTAAATATTTGATCAAATTACTTTATTCAAAATGTTGCTCAAGTATTTTGCTTTAGGACTTGCTTCCTATTCACTGTTAAAACTAATGCTCAAATGTAGAATTTTTAAGAAGTTTATATTTTGCTCTGCAATGCATTCTGGGTAGCATCACTGCTTCACCGCATTTTGTTTTCAATCAACTCAATATATTTGAGTTGTCATTAATGGACCACCAGGCTTACAGCAGAAGTATTTTCACTTAATGCAATAAAATCAGTATTGTACAGGGTGCTATGATAATATTATACTGTACTTATTTGTCAACCAAAAATATAAAATAGTGGAAAATGAAGTATATAGTAATTACTTAAAATATTTTACATCAAGGTTTGGTCTGATTCACTTATTACAATGTAGAGTTTGCTTTCTGCTCTCCCTGTATAACTGTATACACAGCGGTGAGAAGGCACAGGTGTAAAAGCACAGGATGGCGCTGAGGCAGGAAGTGACCGTAGCCATGAGGTGAATAACTGAACTGCGCATGTCGTAAAAGCTTACTCAAGTAATTCCCGCATCAATTTGTTTATTAACTTAAGTAATGTACTGACTTTACAGACACCTTTCAAGTATTGTCTGATGCAGAAATACCATAGATCAGTGTCTCCCAAAGTGGGGTCCGCGGCCCCCTGGTGGGCCGCGAGGGTACTGCAGGGGGGCCGCGGGAGGTCATAAAAAAAATAAAAAAAATAATATAATTATTTAATGTTAAATTTATAATGTTTTGTTTGTAATATTAAAATATTTGTGTTCATTATTTGACTTGAATAATCCACTGTAATCATTTTTGTATTACAATGTTTGTAGCACAGGCTATTTCCCCAAAATAAAATGACCAGAAGAGCCTATTCTTAATGTTGTCTTCTTGGTTATTATTTTGGGGGGCCACGCAGACCCGTCAGATTTTTAAGGGGGCCTCGGTGTTACTGAGTTTGGGAATGGCTGCCATAGATAATAATAAAGACCATAGATGATACACACCAACACTTATGAAATGAAACTCAACTATGTAATTTAAAAGTTAGATTTTGACATGAATTGTAAAGGTTACTAATAGTGTGTGGGTGAACAGTAAACTTGGAGAAAAATCAAGTAAAGTATGATCAATAATTTTAGGTGAGGCATATATATGGATTTACAGTGTACAACACCCGCCTCCCGTGCTCGCTGATTGGTCGGATGCGATTCAACTGATGTAATTGCAGACACTGGGACTAGACCCAGATGGTACATGCAGGGAAATGATAATTAACCAGAGTTTACAGATGGCTAAGGCCGGGCTAGTAATACAGTGTTCCCCAACCTTTCTGAGTCGTGGCACACCTTTGTCATCGCGAACAATCACATGGCACACCACCAGCTGCAACCTATACAAAATCGAAACTCTACAGCCTTTATTAAAAAAGCAAAGTCATTCTCATCAAGTTTAAGACTAAGAGATCCTTTATTTGTCCCACGGCGGGGAAATTTCAGTGTTGCATCACAAGTTACAGAACAGTATGGAGCACACAGCACAAGATAAGTGAACAATAGCTATACTAATTAACATAAAACAAAATCTCTAACTCTAGCATCAAAGAAACGTATACAAGTAAAAAATCTCTACCTTGAACATCATAAAGAAGAATACAATTTGAATCAATGTGTGTTAGATAGATAATCAAACAAGCACAAAAAAGTCTTTCTCACAATATTTTATTTTTACATGATTTTGGTTAAGCAGGTGATATTGGATCACAGCACACAGATTGAGAAACATTGCAGTAATAAACCTGAAGAATATTTAGAGCCTGCTATAGCAAAACTCTGACATCCGATATATTGCCCATAATGTAGTTTCCCAACCTCAACGGAGCAACAAAAAATGCTGACCTTCCTTTTACCTCGGCGCAAATCCTCACAAACAGCAGCAATTCCAAGAATGAATATAATAAAATAAAAATAAAATATGCTTTGAAGATTAATTATAATTATAACGGAAAAACAGAAAACCGTAAACGTACCCATCATTTATTTCATATTGTATGTTGTTTGTCTCTGTTTTATATGGACCTTTTTAATCAGAATCAGAATCATTTTTATTGCCACGTAAGCAACAAATATGTATAATAACAATAATGTGTCTGAATCAAACATGAAATTTAATAAATATGAATAGGATTGTACAAAAACACAACAACAGCAAAGACCCCAAAAGTAAAAAAACAGCCCATAATTCATCATCTGTTTCTCCGTTATCATTGAGACAAATTTGGACCAGTCCTTCACAGTTGTCAGATTACAAAATTATGTTTATTATACAACCATAAACTCTCCTTTTATCTTTCGTCCCTGAAAGACGGACACCCGTTTCTTGGCCGCAGTACAAAAAAAAGTTGACTAAGGCCCTGTCCACACGAAGTCAAGCTCAGGCCTAAACGCACAAATACTTTATCAATCCAGTGTATCGTCCATACGAGGCCGGCGTTTTGGGGGGGGTGTAAACGAACATTTTTGAAAGTAGGTCCCAGAGTGGAAAGATTTCAAAACTCCGTATATGCCGCTCCGTGGTTACTGCCTCTCCGCAATGTATCTGAGACGCTTGCGTCATCGCCCCGCCTCTTGTTAAAGCACGCATGCGCCGCACTCAGAAAATAATGACAACAACAATGTAGCTTGTTGGTTTTGTAATCCAGTGTGACCCGAAGCAACAGTTCAACCTCATCGTCCGTCCATACTAATGTAGTACCAGCTCGCCCACTCGCCATGTTGTCTGTTTACAAAATTCTGCGCATGCCCAGTTCCCGTCACGGAAGTTTGGGCTTGATCCCATCATTGCGTCACAGCGCCACCAACAGGTCTGGCATAGTTTCACAGCGTTTTCAGGCGTATTGACTACATTCATATGGACGCACACATTTACTGAGCTAACTCCGTGTTTACAGAAAACGTTTCTGAAATTATAAGCGTTTTGTCTTCGTGTGGATATAGCCTAAATCGCTTCCAGCCGTGACAAGTGCATCCTTCGGTTCTGACACGCCGCTGCTGAGATCTACGGTTCAATTAACGTCAATGTATAAAACGGGGAAATGGAATTGGTTTGCGTTTGGAATTGGATGTTTATTCACTGCAGGATGCGGCTTCTGGGATTGAAGTCGGAAGGAAAACATAAAAGAGAAAACAGCACTACGTCCACTCTCTAAAACTTTGAATCCCGGTCGGAACAGGTTCTTTCAGAGTGGATTTTGCATTTTTACACTAGATTATTGTTCATTTCAGACCTGTACAACATATGGATTTTGTTTTATATGGACCTTTTTTGTGGTTAGGGTCTGAATTAGGGATTAAGATTAAATAATAAATAAAAAAAATAGAACCAGAATAATAATAATATATCTTTACAGACAATCAATTCAATGTATAGAGCCCTTTACAACAATCAAGGCGACCAAGCTGCTTTGCAATGAAATCACATTAAATCCATTAAAACATTCATGTATTCAGACTAAAAAACAGTTAAAAAGATTTTGACAATTATTGAGAGAATAAAACAGTTAAAAAGCATTAAAAAGTGTCACTGATAATTCACTAGTAACTTTGTCACTAGTCACTTCACCTGTTGATATTATTTCTGATGTTTATTCTGCTCATATTCATATTCTCATATTCTCCGCAATATAGACATCTGTACATACTTCTGAACCAAGTGCAATTATAACCCGCAGAGATTATTTTTTATTTTATTTTATTTTATTCTTATTTTAATTATATAGTTTATGATCTTAAAAAATAGACTCAATTTGATGTCTGCAATCTGAGAGCTCTTAGTTCCTTCTTTCTCTGCTCCACTGTGAGGCGAATAAAGGTTATCTTATCTTAACTACTGCGCTAATAAACGCAGTGATTTTTTTTGGAGAAATGTTTGTATTTTTTTTACAACAGCAGTCTTATTTTCAAATCAGAGAATCCAACAGTTGCAAGAGAATCAAACATGGGAAATGCAATAATAACAAACACATAGGAGCCATTGATTCATAAGAGGTGGATGACCCATGTCCTTAAATGTTAAAAAGATGTCCTAGAAACATGTTAGAGGCAAAAAATATAGTATGTTCAGTATATAATTATGTCCTGTATCGGCAAGGAACAAAAAATTGGAGACCCACAATGAGAGAGGGCTATAGATCCAGGACAGAAGATCAGACCCCTGGGTGCTGAACTCCGGCAACCACCGCTCAGGACAGAGTGGTATTACAACATGTTTCAAATACAACTCAACATTCACTTCACACAATGTAAAGACACTTGAAAAACTTCCATAGAATAGCTCAGAATTACTACTACGGCAAAAGTACAGGAAACGCCTTCAAAGCTGTCAGCAGCCAATGCAGCCAGAGACTATTCAGCGGCAACTTCCTGCTTCATGCTTTTCCCCATGTGTAAGGTGTATTTTGTTTTGAATCATGAATCACTTAGCAACAGTCCTCATTTCTCATCAATGTGAAACTATCATGATAAGAAATAGTGTTGGTGCTATTTCTGAAATGTCACATCGCAATGAGAGGAAATCGACTCTAACAAGTGCCACAGCCATTTCGTGAAGATGAGTAAAGGTTATTGTAAAAGTTATTTATTCCGTCAAGATTCAAAATATGTATTGTCAGTGTAAGTAAAAAAAAAACAGGTGAAGGGGGGGATCTCATGCTAATAGGTATAGGTTTGGGGACAAAACATACATTCTTTTCAAGAATGTATGTTTCTTTTCAAATATAGCTTGTGCGGCTTCAAAGTATATGTGCTTATTAGTCCCACGAGTCCCGCCATTTCTGGACTAAAAGCAGCTACTTCTTGTACTTCTTGTGCTTTGTACCTTGCTGCTTATATACAAATTCAGGTTCAGAAAACTTTACTGATTGCAAAGGACAAATAATTTTCAGCAGAGTCAGCAGCAGGTTACAATAAAAACAAAATTCCCAAAAGTCAAACATCATCACCAGAGTTTCACAGTTTTTTTGGCAGAATTGGAAAAAATGGTTTGTTTTCTGAGTCGGAGCGTAAGAATGACGCACTGAAGGCATCATGGCAAAGTCAGCGATCAAAGGATGTTTGAGCCGAGCCAGAAGTAAGTAATCAGTAAGTAATCTTAAAGCTGCACTAACTGACTTTGGGATTTTGAAGCCGCGGACTCACTGGCCTCGCTCTTTCTGCTCCCCTCCCCGCACCCACGAAGCTATCGCCCCCCACACACACCCACTGTTGTTGACGGAGCTAGCGTCTCCCAATATGGATAATACATGGACATGGATTTGCACGTGGATGGCGTGACCATAGAACGATAGAACCGGGAAGCGCGGAGGAACAGGACTTTCTTTTGGATGGCTGTCTCGCTGAGTAAGCAGGAACCGGTGACGAAGACGAGGAAGCTTCAGGTTAGCTCCTCGGCTTGTTGTGCTAACTCAGCCGTCTATGCTAACGGACCTGTAGATTTCTCACAAAAGTGGGGGCCA